AACATACATACCGACTAGCAGCTTATAAGTAGCACAAATTTGATCTTAAGTTGGAATTGAAAGTAATAGGGTGTTGGTGTATAGGTAGTTCCAGATAGAGGCTTTATACTGTTTAACATTATAACCTATGATGAGATAAAAAACTTCTGTACCATCACTTTTAGCCATGTCTTTGAAATACGAGAAAGATTTCTTTAAAAGCTTATTACTGTAGCCTAATTGGTGCAAAAACTGAACATTTAAATAGTTTTTATCTTTCAAAGATTGCATAGAAAGGTGTATTTTAAAGTTCTTTTGTGATATTAGAGCCGCTAATCGCAAAAAGTAGCAATGCCAAATATGAAGAAGAAATTGCCGTCCGCTACTTCTTTACAATTGTATTTTATACCCCACTACCTGAGTTTATGAAATTATTGCATGTAAAACGTTGAATGTACTAATTTCACAATGAGTATTTCGAATCATTTTCTTATATTTAAAGTCTTACTCTCATTATTCGATAATAACTCTACTTGACAGTAGTCGGTGCCGTACTAAACAAGAAAATTATGTGTTTCTTTAAAATTTATGTTTGAAATAATTTGATCTGTAAATCATAGCGAATCCTGGACAGCATAAATATTTAATGAGGATTTTTGTTCTCCAAGTCCCAATTCAATGTAATTTTAGTTAAGACCCCGAAAATTCTTATATTGGCCACATTTAATTCTTATACGGGCCACATCTGTTTAATTTAAAAATTTTTTTTTGAAATAATTAAAAAGTTTCTTCTTTTCCAATAAAATTTAAAAATAAATTTATAGAAATGAAAATAAAAAAATAACTAGGAAAAAAAAAATAAACAAAAAATATCCTTTTTTCTATGTAACAGGATAATAAAAAATCTTATTTTTTCCCATTTTTTTTCTGGTTTCTATAAAAAAAAACAAATATAAATTTTTTATTCTTCTATTTTTTATATTTTTTAAATACTTATAAAAATTTTTCAAGTTGCCTAATATTCAAGGACGACTACACGTGTTCCTTTTATTTTTATATTTAAACATAATATAGAAGAGGGAGAGAAAGAGAGACTATTGAAAAATATATGAACTGGGAGAATAAACAAAGGTCAATGACAGGAAAATGCGTCAAAATTATGACGTCAAGAGAAAATTTAATCAGAAGGATTTAAAGAATTTTTCCTTTTTTTTTTAAAAAGCTTTTAAATATATTAGGACTTTAATGTTGGCACTATATAAAATATCCAGGGCACAATTGATTCTATTATGGTCTGGGATGAAAATTGAGATTTTTTTAATTTTATTTTGTTTTTTAAATAAATTACGGTCCTTTTTCGAATATTATTTTTCGACTCAATAAATGTAAAATTCTTATGAAAATTATAAATGAAATTATTATTTATTAAGGATGCAATTTTGTTTTTCAAAAATATTTTAAAAATAAAATATTAAAAATGGAGAGGAAAATAATTTGAAGACAAAAATACTATAAAAATGAAATGTGAGCTCTACTCTAAAATTCACTGTATTTAGTGTTGGCGTATAACATAATTACATGAGTAAAATTATATTGAGTAAAAGTTACCGCCTCATACATATGTAGGGGGAATAATTATAAAAAAATTGTCAATTTCCAGAATTAAAAAAATTCTTAATTGAATTTGAAGAGAAAAATACCAAAATTTCAAATTTCTATTTGAATTATTTTATAGCTATATTGCTACTTTTGTTATAATTATCGCAGAATGTCAGGGAAACATCAAATAATTATTAAAAATTTTAAATAATTGAAAATTGCAATAATTTTTTGATCTTTACGTACGTACACGATCGGAAAGAACAAATAAATTTGAGGTCCATACTCTTATTTTGCATGTCTTATCCTCTAGTTTTATTTTGGTGTTCTTAATCATAGCTCTGATTCACTCAATTGTATTTTTTACTCTTTTTTGAATTATGACGGCTTAAATTTTTGAAATACTTATACTAAAACTTCTTATCTCCCAAAAGAGAGTGATGTGAATGGAAAAAGCGATATACAAAGCAGATAGAGGGTATTTTTCTCATTTGAAAATTAAATCATTACGAATAAAAGAATTCTCACTCGTTTCCTCTCACTCACCAGTCAAGGATACAAAATTCGAGTTAATTGTTGTGATAATAAAAACAATAAAATCCTAATTCAATAAGGATAATTGTAAATTTTGGATGATTTTCATAAGGTACTTTTAATTTTGAATTGTACAAATTATTTTATTATTGTACTAAGCACGGAAAATTCAAGAACTATATAAATTTACAATTGATGTCAATTCCAATTGAATAGAAAATTTCGAACTGGTATTTAAGCATGAGTTGGGAGTCTCTGATTCTATTAAAATAAAAGAATTTATGATTATTCTTGAAAAATTTTAAATTAGTAATCTCAATTATCTAAATTCATTTTACTGTTATAGCTTAGCATTCTATTTAACTCTAATGTGTGTACGATTCTCTTGCAAATTGAAAAGTGTTCCAATTTTATTGATTGTATTCTTGTTTCTTACACAATCTTTAATACGGTTATTCTCTCGTACCACACGAAATTCTCAAATTAAAGAACACTATAATTTTGTTTAAAAAAAAACTACTCACTTTATATAAAAAATTTATGTGGAAAAATTACTTTAAGAATTGATTTTTTATTTTACAAATACTTTACAAGGATATCATATATAAATTATCCTTCAAAATTGTAATTTTATTGGAAATTTTTATTTTTAGTTTTTCGAAATGTCAAGGTATTTTCATTTAATGATTTCAGGATAAAAGAATAACAATATATTATAAAAAGGATGTTCATACAGAGTAAAGGTTATAAACAAATTTATATTGGGAAAAAAAATAATCGATTTATTGTCTTTTAAAGTAAACTTTGGCACTTAATTTTAATTTATTTATAATGCATTCCATGTATTTAATTAAAAATCAATATGTTTTTTAATATTTTATTTAAAATAATGATGATTTGCTTTGAAATATTTTAAATTTGAATATCATCTTATGCTCTTTGAAGTAAAGCTACAAAGGAAAATGAGGAATTATTTTAGACGAACATGGAATTTCGAAAATTAATTTTACGAAGAGAATTTGATTTGGAACATTTGAGTCAGCTCTAATGAAATGTTAAAATAGCATGACTTCAATTACGATCATTTTAATTCAATTCAAATTGTCAAAATAACTCAATCTTTTGTATTCCAAATTCAGTTAAAAGATATTAAACTTTAAAAGTAGACTAGAATTTATTTAAATTGAGTCTATAATATTATCCGATATTGAATCGGGTCTATATTTATTAGAAGTTTACACCTGAAACACAAGCATATACCAATTATTTTTAAAATTAAGAGAAATATTTAAGAAATTACCTTTAATATAAGTTTTCAGCTAAGAGAATAGTATTGAATTAATGCAGACCCTAGGCAATTACCACCGTCTTTGTTTTTTATTGAATTGCCCTTCAAAATTTTAATTATAATTTTATTTAATTCCTAAAATTCTCATCTGCTTTTTTATATTTCTCTAAAACAACATATTAAAATATAATTGCATCCTTTTAGGATTACAATAACAATATCACATTAAAATTAACTACTGTCTTTTTAAAATCCAACTATATAATACAAAATATTATTAAATAATTTATTTTTTTAATAAATATTTACTGTTATTACCTATTATTATTAAAAAATTATTGTATAATAAAAATGTCCTTTAAACTATTTCTCTTATAATATTTATTCAATTTTTAAACAAAAAAAATTTTAAATGAACTTTAAACATAAAAATCTGATGTGATCAGCACATAACCGACCACGATGTATATTGTCTAGTTTATTGAAAGTGATACAGAAGATTATGAAAACATTTCCTTTTTGAGCACTTCCTTTCAATTTTAAGGAAGTTACTAAGCTTTTAGTTAACATATACGTAGAAAAATGTAAATTTGCCTCTTAATAGAATTTCGCTTACTGCCATCAATATTCCCTGAAAAATTCACCGTTTAGTTTCTCTCAAAGCTCAAATTTCAAGAAATTCCATTAGTCCGTTCCGTAGATATGGTAAAAAATGTAATATTCAATTCCCCAGTTCGTTTTCCGAACCCTGATCTAAATTTCAAGCAAATTGTAAAATTGGCAGACCGACAGACTGGCAGGTTGCTAAAACTAATTTATTTACGCTTCCCTACTATGGAGGAATGCGTTTCCATCGAAAATTTTATATGCATAATTTGTTGCCATCACATAACCTCTTTTATTGTATGCAATATGGTCGGTAAAAAAAAATTATTTATTTTATCTTTAAAAGCACAAGCTCCGTGTTTAATTTATTCCACACAAAAAAAAAAAAATTATTGCAAAAATTTCCATTCATTATTTTTTTTTATGTTTTCCTTATGCGACACTATGTGAAGTCCAAGAATATTAAATTGAAAATTGTTAATAGTTTTTATATTTTCAAACTGGTAAATTCACAGCAAGGACATTTTCATTATACGAGATTATTGCATCCCGATAGGAATCATTCTATGAATATTAAAAGAGTAAAGGAGATGAAGAGAAGAGAAGAGAAAAGAAGAGAGATAAAATGGTGTCCTTTTTGTTTTTATTCTTCATAATGCAATTTCTCTCACCCTTAATGCGCCTATACAAACTCTACTGTTTTTACTCTACTGTATTGCTGTTAGCAAAGCAAATCAAGCAATTTTAAAAATTAATTCACATTTTCTGATGCATTCTCTACTCTCTAAATGCATTTATTTAAGAGCAGTAGCAAAAAAATAACTAGAAAAATTTGCATTTTTAGAAAATCAAAATGATAAAGTGTTTTTTTTTTTCGGTTTAACTTTTTTTCTTGTTTTCACTATAACAATGCACAGGTGTTATGCATTGTGTAATTATATAACAAAAATTTTATGCAATATTATTAAAAAATAAAGAAAAGAAATTTGCTTACCTGTAATTATAAATTTTTTAATAGCACTTTTTGAAATAAGGGGAGGTAAAAAGTTGGTTTTTCTTCTGTTTTATTAAAGTTGCCTTTGAAAAATTATTGCACTTGTGACACAGTTGGTGTTTTTTTTTTTAAATATCTGAAAGAAGAAATATAGAAAATGTGCGGTTAAATAAAAATTTAAAATTAAATTTTTAATTTTTTTATTTTTTAAATTTTAATTATATTTTTAGATATAAGGAAGGTTTTTAATATTAAATTTTATATTTAATTTAATTGTACTTGCAACATATTGGAATTCAATTAATTTTTTCAATAAATACGACCTACAAAACCAATATAAAATTACAATTAATTAAGGAGCTGAAAATTAAAATTGAGCTACTTCAATTCGAACAATTTTGAGTAAATAAAGAAAAATATTAATGAAAAAATTCTTTTGAAAATCAAAAATTTTGGGCAAAATCCGCAATTAAAATGAAGATGAATTTTGACGTTCTAGATTAAAAAAATAGAAAGGTCCGATGTTCGGTTGCAAAGTATATTTGCTTTGATACTTGGAATACTTTGCCATCTAAAGTATAATGGACAGTAAATAATGTCTAGCTGTTTTGATAGAGAAGGTTCTGAAATGTTTGCACTCAAAATCAATTTAATTGTAGCAATTTTAAGCATATACGTTATTTTTATAATAAATATACTTCAAATTTATTTCATGGATCTCGAAAATAGCATCATCTATTCTTTGTATAACATCAGATTATTCCAGGCTTCTTTGATAGCCTTAGCTTGTTTTAATTCTCACCTTAAAAATCAAGTGGTATACTTCTTTTGTATATTGCAATTTCTAGAACATATAACACAATTAGTTAAAGTAACTTTGGAATTACAAGTATGTAGATTGTGATTTAAACAGATAAGCCCTTGTTTTTTGAAATTTTAATGAACTTCATACATGGATTTGTAAATTATTTTATGTGTAAAATATTTCTGAATAGAAATAAATAATTACATTAATCGAAACAAAAATTGTTATTTTATTGTGGCATATGTAAAGAGTTTTGAAAGTAAGCGATTATTATTCTTTCGTCATTAAGAGAAGATGGAATTTATTAGTCTACTAAACGATTATATAAATAATTAAGTGAAATTCCTGTAATTTTATGTGAAAAATATGGTATTCTTCATTAAATTATATTATTAGAAATACGCAATTTAGAATAAGATAAAATCACAACAATAGTTAAAGCAATTTTTTAATTAGTTAAAATAATAATTTTTGGATCACAAAACCATTTACAAGAATATAACAGATTCTACGCAGTTAAAAAATTAAATGTAAGATTCATTGAACTTTTTATTTTATAAATTAAGGGTTTGGTGTTTGTTAAGTTATTCAAAGAAAATTAAAAACAAAGAAGACTAAAGAAATTACGCTCCAACAATCATAAAAACTAAAATAAAAATAAATCATAAATTAATTTTTTTTTTCTTAAAACATAAAATACCCGTGAAACAAAGAACCCAAATTGATTTTAATTAACCTATATAAAAAAAAAGAATTAAATAGAATAAAAATCTAATGGAATAAATTTTGTCATTTTCTATAAAGAAGGGAAAAATAGTAAAAAAATTAAATTACCTAATAAAAATTGCTTTTATCATGGGAATTAATAAAATTTATAGAGAATTGTGAGCGTACTAATTGTAAAAATTTACAATTAGTACACGATAAATAGTTAAATCGCTCTGATTGCATATTTCTAGGGCGCGTGGCATAAATAAAATTGTTATTATCCAACAGTTTCATTATTAATTAAAAAATTGGCTCAGAAAAACTCGATTTATCTGCTTCTATTGTAATGAACGTCAAACTGAAATCAAGTTTTCTTAACAGGAACATATGGTATTATTGCAAATTTATGGGGACAGCTAAAAAAAAATTAAAGGTTTTTAATATTTCATTCAATAGTCAAGAAAAACCAGTTCGTGAGAAAAACAAATATTAACTCAACAGATACCTCCTGTAAATTACTCAATGAAGAAGATTAAGACTACACACTAGTTTTGTAATTCACCACCATTTTGTATGTTATTTTTTTTTGTAATTCAGAGCAATTTGTGAACACCAAAAGTATTATTATCAGCAGCCTCTTAGTTTAATATTTATAATACAACTGAGAAGTTTTGCAGTTCTCCGAATTCAGTAAATTAATAGGGTACCTGTAGATCCGCCATAGCTGTAGATCCATCAAGTTACTTTATTCACTAATACAATTTTAATTGCTAATTAATTATTCGTTAATAGTCGTACAATTTTTTGAAATGTGCGAATGTTTTGCAAAATATTCAATGGCAAGTTCAGAGTGGGAAATTTTTTTCTTTTTTATAAAATAATCAAAAAATGATTAATTTTTTTTCTACATTTTTATTTTGTTTTCTAATTTTAGATTCAGTTTCTCTTTTAATTTTTGTTTTTCTAAAATTTTAACTCGGGACAGGTGTCATCACCACGTCTTTTCAAATTAGACGTGAAAACAAAATAGTATCACTGAGTTTTTTTTTTATTTGTTTTCGAAATTTCTAAATAATTTACAAAAAAAAAAAAACCTACAACAAAAAGAAAACAAATGCGTTGAAAGCAAGCACGGCGCTCTTCTTCACAATGCTGACACAAATTTAAAATTTGGGACAAAATTAATTTTGTTACCTTCTTTGTCTGTTTTTTTTCATTTTGCTTATTTGTTGTTTTTGTTTCACTCTCTTTTTTTTTAACAGCGTGCTGTTATTTTTTTTTGTTTAAATAATTCGCAAATTACAACAATAGTAGCGGATAGTGTGAATCAATAAACATTAATTATAAAAACAAATAAACAAAAATTTCCCCTGCATATAGAGAAGGTCAAAAACAAAGAAATAGAAATAATGAAATTTCTTTTCTCAGGTATTTCTGAAAAATTTGTGTTTCATGACTTCACATTTTGTTGTTATAAATGGAATTTTACGCGTTATTCTCTATTGCAGACTTAATATTAGATAGAATTTTAGTTTCTTTGTTTGAAATATAAGAATTTTTACAATGGCCATGAAAGTAGTTGCAGAATTTTAAGATTATTTCAGTTGATCCTACAGTTTGTATTTAGAAAAAGGGGCGATCTTCCTTGCTTTATTCCGAATATTTGTCTTGAAAGAAATTTCGAGTTATTTAATATGATTTATTTGTAAGAGTGGCAAATGAATGAATATAGGACGTGTTTTTACACCAAATTCTAACATAACAATAGAAAAAATTTCCAAAACGATCCACTTTATATTGCTTGTTCAATCAAAAATTCAATTAATTTTATTTAGAACTGTGTTATGTCAGCAAATTTCATAATGAAAAAATTTAATATAAGAGCTAAATTTTAAAATTAAAACAATAAAGATATAAAAAATTTAAATGTATTGAAAATTGTAAGAAAAAATTCCAGTAAAAAATCCATTGGTACCATAAATATTTCCAACATTACTTAAGAGCAAATTTCTAAAAATTGAATAAGACAGTTTTTCCAATAGCATCAAGCAGCAATGCATATTAGTTACGTTTTACGAAAAAATAAAATAGAAAATGTGTGTGCAATTCTATTTGTTATAACAATTTCCTTAGGATATTATAACAGTTATAATTACTCTAATTCAATTGTTATTATAATTACTTTAATTACTGCTAGGGTTCTCTTAGCAGAGACGTCCCTGGTCAATGCGAATTTAATAAATTGAATTTTAAAATTTTTTAAAAATTGTAACATTGAGCCACAAATTAAGTCGCATTCGGTTTTCGAGCTATCAATTGACGGCCACCGTTGTAGTCTGTGGACAAAATAGTAATTTGTGATATCATTGAATAAATTTCGTTGCGCATTAGAGGGTTAAACTTAATAAAAAATTTCGGTACTTTTAATATTTCTTTAATCGAAGAATCCCAACAACAATACAAAAAAAACCTAAATTTTTTTCCAATTTTTTGATTCATCTTCGTAATTGAGAATATAAAAGAGAAAAATATAAAAGTAGAAAGACAAAAAATAAAAACAAAAAAATTATAATGAAATTGAGAGAAAAAAAACCAAAAATTGAGGCCAATGTACGCATTTATCCATGTGGTAGTAGCAAATATGAGCGAATAATTTCAGAATTCAGATTAAAATCATTAAAAAAATTCTTCTATATTTTGATGAACAGTTACTTTTTTTTTAAACATATATATAGAAAATTATAGAAAATAGGTTACTAATGAAAATAATTTTTTTGTTATGAACTCACATTGAAAATGTAAAAAATTTTTCTTTTGCTTATTCTTCTATTCATAATCTAAGTTCAAAAGGATATAATTTAATTGAAATTGGGGAAGGTCAATTATATTAGAAAAAATATAAAAGTTTTTTTTTTTCTTAATTATGTTAAAATGTCTAGACTCTATCGACTCTACTCGTATATACGAGGTAATAATAAAAATACATGATAAAATGTCATGCTTAGAGTCTGTTCCTATCTAATACATTGAAATAAGTAAAATGTAATTTATGGAACTTTTGAAGTAAATTTGATTTTCAAGTAATTATTTTTTTAATTTTGTTTTTCAAATTTAATAAAGAGGACCTTTTTTATTTTCATATTTCATTTCTTTTAATTTTATGTTTTTCGTTTTGTTTTAGGTGTATAAAATGATAATGGAAGGATAACGAGAGTAAAAAAAGAGTTTAATGGGAAAACTTATCTTGATAAGACTAATGATAAAAATAATATAATTAAATTATCGCATTCATTTTGGTTAGTGTAGCGTTTTACGATAAAATTTCATGAATTAGTAAAAAATTCCATTTGCGCCAATTGTTTGAATTCATTGAAATGGTTAGTGCACCTAGGTTCAGTGACATTTCAATTAGCTCTATCGAAATGTTTTCGTAGCATCATCCTACAAAACCAGATTGTCAATATGATATGATGTTAAGTATAAGTTCCGGATTCTATCTTAATTCTTTAGCTTACTTTCAGATATTCTGATCAACTTAAGGAAAATTTTTTCGCTCAACATAAAATTATTCATTTGCAGAGATCATTATCATCATATAGAGCAGCCCGGGGTGGATCTTAACA